ATATGTAAACATCTCAAATCCTTGCTTCCTCCTAAACTGTAAATGCAAGGGAGAATCCAAGAAGTCCAGAAAAGATCAAGAGCTGGAAGACACGAGTTAAAGACTTCAGCTGTTTCCCACAGAAGGAGAAAAGTTTGAATTCTGAGTGCACAAAGATTACAAAAACTTAAAACACCTTGGAATTTCCACCGGAACTCCACATTGGCTATGTGAAGATTACGTCCCAGAGCTATAAAATTTGCCCTACTACTGAAAGAAAAAAAGTGACACAGGCCCACCCTTAAGAGCCTCCACAATTTTAAGGTGATCAGCCAGTAATATAGCTACCTGCTAGAAAATAAAAGAGGGAAGCCATGTGATCATCCCAGTTCTCAATCACAATGCTAAAGAAAAAGGAATTACTGAAATTTGACACTCATTTTTAATTTAAAATATATGTGTGTATGTGTGTGCTTGTGTGTATTTCTTAGAAAACTAGGATTAGAAAGGACCTTCCTGATTTGTGATAAAGAAAATCCATAAAATACATAGAGTTAACATCATATCTAATGGGGGGGGGGGACTAAAATTCCTTCCTATGGAGCCAGCAGATGGCTTAGTGGTTAAGGTGCTAGATTCCCACATCGCAGACCTCAGTTCAAGTCAAGACTTGGCAGCTTGAAAATCTTACCAGGTGCCTATATGTATGTGCCTAAGATCCCAGAAGGAAAAGGGAGAAGAGATTGTGGGATGGCCACTTCCCTAGAAGCTGATTTCTCATTTTCCCCCTCTCAGTCTCTGCACCCAGCAAGTCCATGCACCCTTTGGCAAAAACCTAAAAAGGAAAAAAAAAAAAATTCCTTCCTATGAAGATTAGGTATGAGACAAGGATATCTATTCTAAAGGCCACGACTATAATAAGGCATGAAGAGGAAATTAAAGTCATAAATATTAGGGAAAAAAATTGTATTTATAGACCACGCAATTGTTTACATGATGGAAAATCTTAAAGTGTGTATTAAAAAATATTAGAACTGGGGCTGGCAAGTGGCATGGTGGTTAAAGGCGCTAGACTCCCACATGGACGACCACGGTTCGAGTCTCGGACCTGGTGGCTTGCTTTCTCACGTACTCTCTCTCTCTGTCTCTCTCTGATCAAACTGGAAAATAATAATGATAATAATAATAAATAAAGTTAAATAAAATAATTCTTTAAAAAATACTAGAACTAATAAGTAAATTCAGCAAGATCACAAAATACAAAGTCAATATTCAAAAGCTAATTTCATTTCTACTTACAGTGCACAAATGAATTTAAGAAAAAATGTTTAAAATGATACTTATAACAGCATCAGAAGACTTAAAATATAGTCAGCCCTCTATATCCTCAGTTCCACATCAATGGATTCAGCCAATCTCAGATACAGTCAGGACACTCCAATATTTATGAAATGAGAAAAAAACATGGCTCCTTAAAAGAGAGATATTGGTTGTCACGAAAGTCATGACACAGTTTTGCATAGGAAAACATGGAAAAATACATCATGACTTTCCCTA